AGCTAAGCTCTCGGCTACGTAGCTATCTATATACAATGCTGGTTGCTAGGGTAACAATCGGGCCGGGCAGGTGGAGTAAACGAGGTCGTAGACGAGTATGGGAGGCGAAGGGCGTTCAGCCCGTTACACATAGGCCTGCTTTAAAGGGGCAAAACAGCCCACATCAAGAGGCTGCAAGAGGTGGGACGAGTGCGGAGGCATGCAAATAGTGATAATACCCTGATCTTTGCAGTACTTTTGGAAATCTAGCGAGTTATGGCTCTCATGGCTGTTAATAATAAGTAGGCGGTAGATACCAACCTTCTTTGTCTTTGTATGCTTATTAAAGTGCTTTAGCCACGTAAGACTAAGCTTATTAGTCGTCCAGCCGTTCTTAGAGACTCCAATAACCCAGTTCTAGGGTATATCGCCGTCCTTATACCAGCTTGAGAGGTGGTGGCGCGCCTTGAGTATAATAAAGGGCGGAATCGTCCACCCGGTCGCATTGATGCCCTGGATGACTGTTGCCCACTCTCTATTGCCAGGCTGGATAGTCTTTGGTCGTCCACGTCTCTCTAAAGCTGTAACAATAGCTCCAGGGGCAATCTAGCCTATTATAAAGCCAGTCTCGTCAAAGTTGTACGTATCGTCGTCTACAATACCATACTTGGCTTTTATGCAGGCTACTAGGTTAAACTAGGCCTAGATAGTCTTAGGATCCTCATAGAGGGCTCTCTTATAGTTGTACTTGCGATTAAAACGCGTCATAAGCTTAGATCAACGTTTAACGAATGTACTAGGCTAGTTTTGGCTAACCTAGTCTAGATTACGCTTAGCGCGCAAGGAATTGGCTATATTAGCCACGTCTGCGAGCTAAGGGGGAAATCTACGCGTAACTAGCTCGAGTATATGCTTAATAATCACGTCCTCTTTAAACTTAGTTAGATTCCTTGTTTTTGGCCAGCGATCCGCCTAGTATATGATGCTACGTGGATTGGATCCCCAATCCATCCTAATCAAGTAATCACGCACCCTGATCCAAAAACGCGCGTATGCAACGCGGATCAGACCCCGATTCTCGCCCATTATAGTTTAGTGCGAATCGGCCCCTTAATTTCCGCGCTTTAGTTCTAGCGTAAGCCTCCTAAACTATTCTACACCTCATAGTACAATATAATCACTTATAGTAGAGCCATCTTTGTGTTCTTGCTTTTCGTTGATAGTTGCAATTGTTTCAAGTGTTGAGATGGCAACAAATTGGATCCTGTCAACACCAGCGTCTATCGCTAACCACCTTGTACGTAGTGCTGATCGCCTAAATTAAAGCCATTAGTTGCTAAATTCACATTCTATATCTTGTAGCCATATAACCTAAGTACTCTAGACTATATCACGTTCGTCCTAAGCGAGAAAGTAATCATCTGCACCCGCTGTTGTGCCGCAGTACCTGTCACGCGCTTGAATGCCCACCTCCAAACCTTCCACCATGTTCCATTCAAACTACGGCGTACAACGATAGCACGGTTTGACGGCATACCCGCTGCGCAGTCCTTTCAAGATCTAGTGCCTCGCCAGGATAGATCCGCGCCGCTCTCATATCTCCTTCCACCCGTACCTAGATTTTGTTGTCCACACTGTACAGAGGGAAAGACAATCAACTGGGATTGTATGAGAAAGCATGCGAAGGAAAAACATAACATCAGCGCTCCTGAATGCCTTCGAGACCAATCTAGGTATAAATGTTATCTGCAGAGCTGGACGACATACTCGCCCAAACACTGGGTAGTAACCCAAGATAACAGCGCTAGTCAGCAAGCGATTCCTGAGCAACCATACTCTATGAGCGAAGAAGAAAACCTATTGCGGATGGAGGATGAAGAGGAAGAAGAAGAACAGCGCTTTGATGGCGAGAGTAACATGGTAGCTCTAGACACAGAGCTAGAGCACGACGAGAATACAGAGTGGCTTCGAGGCTGTGAATGGCCGACTTGGTTCGCTCACAAGCCTATCTATATTATCGTCGCAGCGGCAGCATTGCCCTCCGCGAGAATATCCGAAGATCTTGTACTAGGCCTTTGGAATGGTTTTGAATGTGTGAGCCTAGCACAGACAGAGAGGGTTATTTGGAAGATACTAGAAGCCAGCAGATTTGTGTTTTAGCGATGCGAAATGACGCTCAAATAGACACCGCGCGTTCTGCGTTGCTGGCTTCGGAGCTGGACGCCTTCTTTCCTTCCTTATCCATTTGAGCTGCCTTAACGCGAACAAACCCGGCGAAGATACTACGTCATCCACGAGCGGTTTCTATGCTATATATTCCGGATGCTAGCACTATCGCGTAGCATAAAGGAGCCTACGAGCGAAATCTCTGGACTGCAGCTAACTACAGCTCAGCTCTCCATGATGAACCATATTTGGAGCCGTCTTTCAATTGTTAGCCAGCAGGCAGACTGCGGGGTATTGCTCCAGCCATCGTTGGATGTTGTGCATGAGAATCTGTTCCAACTTCTTGTCATGTTC